AAGCTCGCCCGTTCCCTGGAGGAGATCTAAGCATAGGAAAAATCCTGCTGAATCTGAGTTTCTAGTAGAGTCACCGGAGAGGGCCTCAGCCCAGAGCCTCCTGGTTCCCCCGGGTCCCCTCTTACACGCACCTGTCTTTGTTCCATCTTCCCCCCGCCCGCCCCGCTGTGGCCATTCTTCTGGTGGGACTATGGGGCGGGTGCGGCGATGGACCGGGCGGGCACAGAACAGGTGGGTGCAGGCTGGGTGTCCGGCGCTGGGACACAAGTGCTCTGTGTGTAGGGTGGGCGGAAGTCAGGGCGTTTGATCTGAATTCTAAAGGGCGTTGTTCAGAGCCCCACAAAGGTCCCATTGTGCAGACACTGGGTATAAAGCAGCATATGACTCCCCAGCACCGGGCGGCGATGAACTGGGACGCAGGCGCGGACCCAGGGACCACTCCCCCTGCACAGACATGAGACCATAGGGGACCTGTCTGGGTGGCCTCAGGGATAGGCGCTCCCCCAGGTAATGAGGCTTTGTTGGGTTTGCCCCAGGTCCAGACTTAAGGAGCTGGGGGAGGGGGAGCTAAAGAGGATGGGCGGACGGCAGAACAAGATGGGTCTGGCAACAAAGGGCAGGAGAGGAAAGAATGTTGGATGAAGGCAAAGAAGGGAGATGGGGCTCAGGGAGGTCAAGTCATCAAGTGAATGAGGGAGGAGAAGGAGGAGGAAGAGAAAGAGAAGGAGAGGCTGGCACGGGAGAGGGGGTGGGAGGAAAGCTATGGCTCTCCTTCTTCCTTTCTCGTCCCTGGCTCTTGGAAGGGGCAAGGGGGTGTCAGACAGTGTTATGGTGCCTGGCTTTCGGCCCCAGCTTCCTGACAGCTTGCTCTGCGGCTCATGTTTTGCAGGTGTGAATGAGGCAGGATGAATTGGACGGGTTTGTACACCTTGCTCAGTGGTGTGAACCGGCATTCTACTGCCATTGGCCGAGTATGGCTCTCGGTCATCTTTATCTTCAGAATCATGGTGCTGGTGGTGGCTGCCGAGAGCGTGTGGGGTGACGAGAAGTCTTCCTTCATCTGCAACACCCTCCAGCCTGGCTGCAACAGCGTCTGCTACGACCACTTTTTCCCCATTTCCCATGTGCGTCTGTGGTCTCTGCAGCTCATCTTGGTTTCCACCCCAGCTCTCCTCGTGGCCATGCACGTGGCTCACCAGCAGCACATAGAAAAGAAAATGCTGCGACTTGAGGGCCACGGGGACCCCCTACACCTGGAGGAGGTGAAGAGGCACAAGGTCCACATCTCAGGGACACTGTGGTGGACCTATGTCATCAGTGTGGTCTTCCGGCTGCTGTTCGAGGCCGCCTTCATGTACGTCTTTTATCTGCTCTACCCTGGCTATGCCATGGTGCGGCTGGTCAAATGTGAGGCCTACCCCTGCCCCAACACAGTGGACTGCTTCGTGTCCCGCCCCACGGAGAAAACCGTCTTCACCGTCTTCATGCTGGCCGCCTCCGGCATCTGTATCATCCTCAACTTGGCCGAGGTGGTGTACCTCATCTTCCGGGCCTGCGCCCGCCGAGCCCAGCGCCGCTCCAATCCGCCCTCCCGCAAGGGCTCCGGGGGCTTCGGCCACCGCCTCTCACCTGAGTACAAGCAGAACGAGGTCAACAAGCTGCTCAGCGAGCAAGACGGCTCCCTGAAAGACATACTGCGCCGCAGCCCCGGCACCGGGGCCGGGCTGGCCGAGAAGAGCGACCGCTGCTCAGCCTGCTGATGCCACAGACCAGGCAACCTCCCATCCCGTCCCCCACCCTGCACCGGCCTGCCCCTCCTTCTCCCCTGCCGGTGCACAGACCTCGGACTGCTAGGGATTACTCCATCAAAACCTTCCTTCCCTAGGGCTTCCCTGGTGGCGCAGTGGTTGAGAGTCCGCCTGCCGATGCAGGGGACGCGGGTTCGTGCCCCGGTCCGGGAGGATCCCACGTGCCGCGGAGCGGCTGGGCCCGTGAGCCATGGCCGCTGGGCCTGCGCGTCCGGAGCCTGTGCTCCGCAACGGGAGAGGCCACGGCAGTGAGAGGCCCGCGTACCGCAAAATAATAAATATATAAAAGTTTAAAAAACAAACCTTCCTTCCCTCCCAACTTCCCTTCCTCCCAGGGCCTTCTGCCTCAGGGGCTGAAGGGGTGGGGAGCTGGAGGCCACCCACACCAGCACTCTAAGGCTACTGGGCGTGTGGGCCGCGCTCGTTGCCCGCACCCCTTCCACTTCACTCTCTCTCTCCCTGGGACCACTGGGGACCAGAGGTAGGATGCTCTGACAACATCTCCAATTATGAAACTAATCTTAACCCCGTGCTGTCAGATACCCTGTTTCTGGAGTCACATCAGTAGGGAGGGATGTGGGCAAGTGGAGTGGAGGGAGGGTGCTGTGGACGTGTGGGTGGAGAAGGGAGGGTAGCAAACACAAGAAAAGGAGGAACAGTGCTTGCCGGGCCCGAGGAAAAGGAGGACATGTCTGGGGTGGAGGAGGTAGAGAGGGAGAAGCAGGCAGATAAGCTGGAGTGGGGGTTGGTCGGGGCTGCCTTTGCCTCTAGTCCCTAAGGCCTCTCTCTGCCTGAAATGTTACACATTAAACAGGATTTTACAGTAAACGAAGAGGTGGCTTGTGTGTTTGTGAAGTTCTTTCTCCTGCAACCTCTGACCTCCCCCTGGATGAGCTGGCCTTGGGTTTTTGCTGATCAAGAAAGGACTGGGCAAAAGATATAGTGACTTGAGTAGCTGAAACTTCCAAGGAGGGATCGCCACCCCCCAGGCCGGGCAAAACCAGGTCCAGGGCCATTCTCTCCTGTTTTTTGTTGTTTTGGTTTGGGGTTTCCCCCCCTCCCATTTTTTAATAACAGCTTTATTGGGCTCTAATTCACTTACCCCTTCCTCTGATGTGATTTTTTTCATCCATTTTAAGTATACAGTTTATTGAGTTTTGGTAATTGTGGGCAGTTTCGTAAACATGACCACGATCTATCATAAAACATCTACATTCCCTCAAAAAGTTTCTTGGGCCCCTTCCTCTGATTTTAAAAAGATTAAAACGACAACTCCTCCAGGAGAGACAGGAAATGATAGAGAAAGTTCGCAAGTTGGAGAGGGTAGCCGGCATCCCCATGGCTCCATCCACATGTCCCCTGCACTCCTGGGAGAAATATACCCTGTTCTTCCTCGAAACTCAGCGTTCACTGCTGACTGATGCCCCCAAGCCACCCATTGGATTGCACAGTGACTTTGACCCTTTTCCTCCGACATAGCCCCAGATTCTACCCTCCTCCCCAGTTCCCTTCCCTCAGGAATCAATGCCTCCCACCCCAGAGATGCCTCTAACACAGGTCAAACATTTCACAGCAGCAGCAGCAGTTTCCTCGCCAGCATCACTCGCCCAAGAAGCAGGTAGCCCCCTCTCCCTCGGTCAGTTGTGGTAGGAAGAGGTCCAGGCTGGCACTTGATAAAGCTGGGTTCAACTCCTGGTTCTGTCACTTCGTAGCAAGGCATTCCCTTCCCCAAGCTTCAGCTTCCTTGTGAGCAGACAAGGGCTGGCCTAGCACCTCTCTAAGCTCCTGTTAACGTTCTGGGTTCCTCGGATTCCCAAAGGACTCCCCCAGTTTCATGAGGGTTCCCCATCACAGAGTCACTGCCCTCACCAATGGCCCCTCGGAGTAAGAGTTTTCCCCACAGTAAGTTTCTCCCCTCAGCTTCCCTACCTCTTAATAGAAAAAATTTGACACTCCCTCTCAGAGAATGCCGACTCCCTGTGGGAAGTATATCAGAAAGGAAGAGAAAATCAGGCATAATCTTATCAGAATTGTTCTCCAGAAACAGTCTTTTCCCTTCAGACAGAAAGCCTGGAAGGGCTCCTCATTCAAGGAGGTTTCTCCTTTAGAAAAGAAAGGAGAGAGTAAGTATTCCTTTCCCACACACTCAGCAATCCTGAGAGAGAGCTTCCCCCTCTCTTAAAAGAGAGACATTCCTTTCCTGCAAGAAATTTCCTTCCTCCTTAGAAACAGACAGCATACTCTGTCAGAGGAGAGGTCCCCACCCCCTCGTGGTAGGGAGATTTCTTTTCTTATTGAAATTCACCCACACACAACACAACATAACACAACACAACACAAAGAACAGCATCTCCTCTCTGTCCAAAAGGCCATTGAGAGAAAGCTTTTCTTTTGAAAAATCCATCCTGGTTCAACAAAGGAACTTCATGCCCTTCTCACATTGAGAAATGTTAAATCCCTCACCTCAGACATCTAGTTTCTCTTCAGAAGACTCTACGAATCCCCCTTGGAAAGAGGTTCCATCTCCAGATCCAGGCTTTCCTCTCCAGGGGGCAGTGGTGGGACAATAAAGCTACCGGGCTGGGTGTTCCAGCCAAAAGGAGGACTCTCACTCTGGTTTGCTGTGAAGCAGGTGGGAGCAAGCCAAAGGAAGTTTGAGGGGAGCTGGTGTACACAAGATAGCAAGGAGGGTGTGGCGGGCTAACCCCAGGACTGACTTTTGTATTTGTTCTGTCACAATCGTGTAAGGGAGAAACAGGAGGCAAGCGGGGCTTAGTACTTGCCACACAGTAGACACTTGGAAGAGTGACCGGGGTAGTGAAGACGGCGATGGAATTCGGAAACCTGGCGCTCCATTTATTAGCTCTAGCCCCTTGGACACATCATACTTACCCTTTCTGAGTCTCAGCTTCCTCATCTGCAATATAGGATTGATGATAACCTCTCTACCTCTTTCACAGAGCTTTTGTGAGAATCAAACAAGATGTGTTCAAAAGCCGGTTACACACTGTAAAGTAAGGAATGATAGTATCACAAGCACTGAGGCCACAGCCTTAGGGCATGCTAGAACTCACAAAGAGCCAGAAAGGAGTGAGGCCGGTTCAGCTAGGCTGGAGATAGTGGAAGGAACTTGGCAACAGTAGGGTTGGCTCCCCGAGGGAATGGACAGCAGTCCAAACAGCAAAGTCCAGGAGATGTCGCAAACTTCTCTTGAGCATGATCCATTTAAGGGTCAATATTCAAGGGGTCTGATCTGGAGGTAGAAAAGGCCTGGTAATAGGAGCTTCTTGCACTCTCTCTCATGGCACTGGTGCTTCTAGGGACATTTATGGTCTTTTAAAGGCATCTGTGTGCAGAGATACCAGGAGCTGAGGACAAAGGAACAGAGTCAGCTCCTGGATGAAGGGACTGGCCGAACTAGGAGAGTAGTCAAGGCCCCGGCCAACTGAGTTGGGATTTCAAAGCAGGCTGCAGTCTCCATAGAGAATTGGCATGGCAACCATGAACTGATTCAGATGCCTAATCAGACAGCCTCGGTGCACACAGTGGTGGTTAGAAGGGACTGCTTGCTCCATTTACTGATTCCACAGTACTTAAATGCCAGACCTGACCTGTGGGAGAGAAGGTGCTATAAAAGCCCACCAAGCTGGGCTCTCTTTGATCCCTGGACTAGGCCAGTCTGAACCTGTCAGGTGGGGAAAGGATTGAGGCACTCTAGGGAGGGGGAATAAAGCAGGCAGAAACCACACAGATGTCTGAAAGTGTATGGTATTGTCTTCAGACTTAGACAAATAATCTGCTGCGCGGGATTTGAGAAGGGGAATGGCTAGAGGGGAGGTAGGACAGATAAACTATGACCATCGTATGATGGGCCTTGTACATCACTATAAGGGGTTAAGACTGTCCTATGGCTGGTGGAAACCATCAAGGGTTTTGAGTAGGGGAGTGCCACCTTCAGATTTGCGGTTGGGGAGCTCACTCTGGCAGCTACAGACAGTGGATTAGGGGTTGGAAAAATGAGAGGCAGAATGCCAGCTATGGAACGGGGGCAATAGCCCAAGTGGGGCCTGTGGGACTCATACAGTGGCAGGAGGAATAAGAGGAGACCAACGTAAGAGACACTTCGGATGTAGAATCGACACCAGGACTTGATGTCTGAGTGTGGGGAGATGGAGGAGCCAGAGATAATTTAGTGGTTTCCTTCCCCTTCCTTGACTGGCAGACTCCTAATCATTCAAGGCTCAGCTCAAAAGTCATTTCCTATGTGAAGCCCTCAACTCTCTTCTCCTCGCCCCCTCCCCCCAAGTCCCTCAGGGAGAAGGAGTCCTCCCCCCATTCTGAATCCCCACAGGACATTTTAGTAGTGCGGTTGATTAGAGTGCTTGTCAAGCTGTGTGGTAATTACTTTCACAACCTTAGCACACAGTAGATGCTTAGCCTGTTGAACTAAGGGCAGCAGGGAAGAGGATAGAGGCATGTGCAAAGACTCAGAGTCCTGAAGGAGTAGAGTGTGTTCTAGAGCAAAGAATGCCGGGGATCGGGGGTGGGGTGTGTCATAGGAGGTGAGACTGGCATAGTAGGTTGGGGCCAGGTCATGAAGGGTCTTATATGCTGTGTGGAGAAACTTACACAGGAATTTGAACTCTCAGCTGTTGCAGGCAGGACCCTTCTTTTTTTTAAAAGTTAGGCCCCTACTAGACTTGTAGGCAATTCTGTACTCATCATGGTAGGCAGACTGTGGAGATCTTGAGGAGATCCAAGATCGATGCATTAAGGTTGACGGTGAACTGTGGAAGAAATGGCAGAGCGATTTGACAGTGGACTTCAGTGGACTTCAGAGAGAAAGGGTAATTTACTCAGGACAGTGACCGGATGTCTTCCATGTCAACTGAAGCCCCTGTGAAAAGTTGGTACGGCATAGTGACCTTCGCCAAGTCGCTTGGCCACTCTAT